TATATATATATATATATATATTTGTTTGGCACATTACAAAATTTATCTCTTAACTAGCTTGTGGCATGGGAATATAATTTTACACTCAAGTCTGCCTTATTCTTTGATTATATGAATAGACTTTCTATGAAGTTTATTAAATGTATTCTTTCTTATTGAGTAATAATAAGAGCCCATAATTCTATGGGGTTTATCTAATATGTGGCCATTTGATCATATTCTTTCCTGCATTTGGATAAAACCTTACACAAATAGGCATTCTATATTTAGATTTCTAAGCTCTGAGCTCAAACTCTCTGCTAATTATTTTCCTCTTATAGTGTAGAAAATGTTATTGAACATCAATTGTAATATCATTCAAGTAATTTTGCTTCCATAATTTCCTTTTCTTGCCATATATGCAATCATAATGTAGCCTCTGGATCTAACGAAAAGTATCTGGCTGTGCCTCAAATTTTCCCAACATATTTGAACTTCAGCAAAATAAGTGAACAAGAAAAGTGAGTAACAAATAACAAAAAAAAATATAATTTCTAATTATATATCAGCTGATGGGCCATAAAAGTCTGAGGATGCTATAAATAAATCTTAAACAGTCCAGCAGGATTGAAATCTGCACATAAAAGCCTGAAATGATTACATACCCCTTGGATTTCTAAGCAATGAATATCATTTGCAACTCAGCCTCATTTGCGACCCAGCCTCTGAAGGTGCTGCTGGTGCTTAGCAGCAGCCGCTTTATCAGCAGCTTCTCTCTTGAGGGCTCTCTTTGCCCGTCGTCCAGCTGGTGGCGCATCGCTCAAAACCTCTTTATTTTTAGGTCGACGTGATGAGCTGGCTTCATAATCCTTGGAAGATTGCTGGTTAAGAGGTCTTGCTTCCTTGCGACCAGCTCTCACATACCCATTATCTCCCCACCTTCTATTTCCGATTCGAATACTCGATGAAGCTCTTGTTAAATACGTTTCGCTCAGCTCATCATCAACATCATCATCATCATAGTGTTCATCATTCTCATCAAAATAGTACTGCAACAGGTCTTCTTCCTCTTCACACGCACTATCCTGAGCCTCCACCATGAGGGGAACAAACCAAGCAGCTCTAAGGAGAAGGCAGATACTCTCCTCAAACATGTATTCATGAATACTGAAATCAAGGGTTGTATCATTAATTGCTCACTGACAACGCGTATGAAATCAGTATCTACAAAGAAGAAACAAGAGGCAGTACCGGCCATCGAGCGAACGGTGCACGTTCAAGAATTCAAATGGATTTTTGCATTGGGGACATGAAGGGTTCTCCTTGTATGTTGCCCACCTCAGTATGCATATCGTACTGTAAAGATAAAAGAGAATAAACTAAACAATGTTGTATGATATGCAACCTAATACTTCAGCATGCATGGGAAATGTACTTTTTTCAAAATAAAACCAAAAAATTTCTGACAAACAATATGAGGCATAGGCAATTTAAATCTGCCTCCTACTAAATGCCTTGAAGAGCATCTCATTATGGTTCATAACAGCTGAGAATGTATACAAAATACCGAGGGTGGGCTAAATGATTTTTTCTTTGAACTTTAAACCGCCTTTGATGAAATGCATGGGAAATGTACTTTTTTTCAAAATAAAACCAAAAAACTTCTGACAAACAATAAGAGGCATAGGCAATTTAAATCTGCCTACTACTAAATGCCTTGAAGAGCATCTCATTATGGTTCATAGCAGCTGAGAATGTATACAAAATACCGAGGGTGGGCTAAATGATTTTTTCTTTGAACTTTAAACCGCCTTTGATGAAGAAAATGACATGCTTCATAACAACAATGCCAAAATAAATCTCCAAAAAAGCACCAAAAAGCAAACATGGAATGTATTTGAAATTGAATAGGGGCAAAATCTACATAAAATGATAGAAGGAGGTGAAAATTTTCGACAGTTGCTCATGCAAATAGATTCTTTTGCAATTGCACTTGAAAAGGATCAAAGATCAAAATTAAAATAAAAAACTGAAAATGGAATTTGGCTACGACAAACTGATGTAAAATCCTTGTTTCTCACTCCTCAATTTTGCCTAAGATTATCTTGTTCAAATACAAAACATTATGATTTATAGGATCTTAGGTATTAAGCTCCTTTCTGGTTTGACGCAAGAGGGGAGATGAAATTGATTGGTAAGCTTATCAAAATTAAACTCATGTGTTATGTTTGATTTCTCCAGTTTCTGAAAAATAGCATCTTCCTAGAAAATTCTTATAAGGATCCAAAAATTAGGAATGGTAAAATTCCTGCTTTCGAATCATTCAATTGGATATCACTCTCATTCACATAAAAGTATACAAACTTATAACCCTATATAAGCACAATCTTTTATCATTCAGAAAAATCCATAGTTTATTCCAATCAAATTGGAAATTCTCTTCTATATTCCACTATAAAGACAAACAGGACTAAAAATTAGCTTTAACAAGGTAATGGTAAAATTCCTGCTTTCGAATCATCCAATTGGATATCACTCTCATTCACATAAAAGTATAGAAACTTATAACCCTATATAAGCCCAATCTTTTATCATTCAGAAAAATCCATAGTTTATTCCAATCAAATTATTGGAAATTCTCTTCTATATTCCACTATAAAGACAACCAGGACTAGAAATTAGCTTTAACAAGGCATACCCAGGACAATTTCTAACCGGAGCAAATACACTTCTAAGTTGACAAAAACAGAAACAATCAACTATATTATTCATGATTTTAGAGGTACTTGATCTGCTTCAGCATATTTGCTTGATGAATGATGAACACCCCAATTAAACGCTTTCAAGCACCACTTACATAGCCCCCAAGTGTGTCTTTCCAAATTACCTTACAAATTATCATGAATGTAAGAAAAATAATCCCTCAATCAACCAACTGAGCACTCTTAGATGAAAAGTAACGAATACCCAGAGAAATCAACATAATCTCCAATGCTTTAGTAAAAAACAAACCAGTATGCGTGTTCGCAACCTTTTACAATAGCTGCCTCCTGGATCTTTATCTTCTCCAAACAAATGGCACAACCACCATAGCCATCGATCAGCTCCTCCGATAGCGTCCACTCAGAGGCTACCGAATCACTTCCCTCCTAAACGCGAAAACAATACAGGAAACTGTCAGAAAACATTGAACCCCAAGAACAACCTATAAACGTTGAAGCTTCCGAATCTTTCACAGATCCAGAGTAGAATAAGGGCGATGAGATTGCTCAATTACTATTACCTGCTTTTCTTCTAGAACGGCTACGAGATCGCTCTCCGGCTTGGCCTCCATGGAAGATATTAGCTATGGCAGGGTGGGACGAGCGAGCGGGCGACGGGAATGGGGAGCTGACCAGCAATTACTCTATCGGCCTGCTTCGACCACGCCGAATATGCTGAGGATTATTCACTAATATATTAAAAGTTTATTTTCTTTCTTATTTGACTTCTATTTTTAATTGCAAATTCATTCTTATATGGTGAATTAACCCTTAAAATTCATTAATATGTGTATTAAAAAGATGTATGTGTTGATCTTATAGAGATCCAATGATCCGGGAGAGAAGAATATGATGGAGGTTGATCCTCTGCAAAAAGATCGTAAGGCCCACCAAGTCGAACGAGTCAAGTCGGATGAGCCAAGACAACTTGGCTAAATTCGGTTGAGTGAGAAGGCGACAAGAAGATGACTTAGAGATCCAGCTAAAATCCATTCGTTCAAAAATGAGTTAGGAAGATGTCTAGGTTGTCAACTATGAGAAATCCAACTCAATGCAATAATCTATTCTGCAGTAAAGCCGACTCGATGGAAGAACTATGTCCACATAGCACCTTCAACCATCTAGTGGAGGCCAGAAGATTCACTAAAAATTGAAGTTAGCTGACTAGGCTAGGCTAGTTGAATCGAGCCTTACCGAAGAAGCACGACCAGCTAAGTTAAATCAGTCAAGTCAAACTAACTAAGCTTAGTCGACATAACTAAAAGATGATTAGACAATGAGCCATTGCTAATAAAATACCAAAAAATCTCAATATAGACCCCCTCTCAATGAGGCTAAAAATTTAATTTCACTATTATACTAAATTCTCTATAAACAAAGGTAGAATTTAATGAAAAGAGTTATAAATTTACTGTTCATTCTGAATATCACTCCCTCTTCCTCTCCCTCTACATTTTTACTCTCCTCTCGCGCTATATTCATAGAGCGTTTTATCTGAAAATTTTGGATTTAATATCCTAAAAAGAGCAGTGATTATGAATCCTGTCACAAACAAGAAAGAGGAGCAAATTAAGGAGTAGAAACATACAATTTGGAGACCAGCAACAACATGGATAAACTCATGAGTTTATGGTCTATCAAATCCAAGATCAAAAGGACCATTTCTTAGAAATGATTAGAGGCGTGCTAAATCAGGGCATGATTAGTAACCCCGACACGACGTTACAGTGTTAAACAACTAAAAAGTCACCTCTATATTAGAAAAGGAGGACAACACCCAGTATCTTGACAGTGTCGAGTCACCACCAGTCAATCGACATTAGATCAGGCGTACTGAAGCATCATGCTAGTCAGAATATGCATTCTCCCAGTAGATCTCCGACAATTGAATCATACGAAGGATGCCCAAACCCGACTGACCACGTCACTTCTTTTGAGTCAATGTATTCCCTTCTCAAGATCAATGATGTGTTGAAGTGTCGACTCTTTTTTATCATGCTAAAGGACTTGACCTTCAGGTGGTTCAATGGATTGTCATCATGAGTAATCATGTTGTTTGCATATTTCAAGCAAATATTCATTGCACAATTTAACAAAGCTCTGAAATCTCATAAGATCTCGCAGGCTCTCCTACAACTTCACAAAGGATAAGGTGAAACCCTATGAGCCTTTGTCACCTCATTGTCATAAGGATATGTTGGAAGTATGAAACTTAGAGCTTACAGTCACCCACACTTCCTTGTACAGGGATTGAGAGAAGGAACATTTTATTATGCATTGGGATTATAATGCCCAAAGGCACAAGCTGAGTTGTTGGAATTAACCAACAACCACATACTAGCAAGAGAATACAACTCCCTAAATTGACAGAGCTCATTACCAAGAAATTTGGGCCTTGGACCTCGAACAATGATCGGCTCGATATGAGGAGAAACTGTCACCTACTTATGAAATCTGAAAGCACACTTCTTTAAGAGTCTTAATGGTTGAAATATTAGAGGTCAAACAGCATAAGGACTACTTTAAGAAGACAACTGTCATGAAAGTCAGAGCTTATCTTTGGGACCCAAAGAAATTCTTCACGTATTATCGTGGCCATGGTCATGACACTTAAGAGTGTCGACACCTTTGAGCTTTGCTAAAAAAAATTAATTAAGGCTGGGAAGTTGAAGGAGTTTGTAGCTCACTGAGCAACCACTTAATGATAAGGAAAGCCTGTCGTAGAAATTAAAAATGAGCCAGTCCGAGCCTGTTGACCTCATTTTTGGTGAGGTCTTTCTTTTCTCTTAGTGCTTGATCTAGTCATAGGATTTTCCCATAGGATTTTCCCTTTGACTATCCTTGAATACTAGAGATGGAATTCACCTACATATAAATTCAAACCACTTCTTAGCTCTCTTTGAAACCCTATATGATTGGTCGTAAACCTCAAAAGCTTTGAAGGTTAAGACCAACTTGTGAGGATTCAAGGATGAGTTCCCTTAGGGTCTACAAACCCTAGGACAACCTTGGTTGGTCTGGTTCATCTATACACTCACGAACGCTACAACTTGCATAACTTGCGTAAACTCCAAAATTCACATCGCCCAGACTCTTTATATTTAATCAAAACTAAAATCAATTTCCAAAACGATCGATATCAAACCAAAACTTCAACGAAAAATAAATTTGACACATTTTTTACATGACCGTCGACGAAAGTACCACGAACGACTCCGAATGACGAAATGAACTGCACGATTGCGTCCGAAACATCGATTTCACATAGGGAAGATGTTTGTCGCGCTACGGTTTCGCATGCGGGCTTAGAATACATGAATTATCATTTTTTGATCGATCATCAAAAAAGTGGTCTGAACAATCTCAAATGATGAAACGGATCACGCGAGCATGTCTGGAACGTAGATTTTACATAGAGGAGACGTTTATTTGACTGCGAGACCATAAATAAAAAAGAAATTCTCTTAAACTATCCTACTGGTCCTATACGCATGCAACAATTCTATCCCTTAAATTTTTTTTTCCCATGCATGCATGCCACCCAAATGTTAAGAATAAATAATAATAATAATAATAAAGATGGTAATATATAAAAGTGTATATACTTAAATAACAAGAAAAATAATAACACTATATATACATAATAAATATTAAAAACGATAATAATAATATATAAACACATGTATAAATAATAATAATAATAATAATGATGATGATGATGATAATAAAAATAAAGATAATAATGATAATAATATGTAAATCATAGTAGTAATATATACGTTATATAACAAGTAACCATAAAAATAATAACAACAGTAATAAATATATACAAATCACAATAATAACATATTGATAATAATAAATAACAACATATAAAAAAAGGATAAAATATAATAGTAATAACAAATATAAATATAATTAAATGATAATATTATTGATATCGACAACGATGACATTAAATATTAATAGTAGCAACACATACAATACTATCAATAAATAAATAACAAAGAACAATGAAAACATGCGCATGACATTAAATATTAATAGTAGTAACACATACAGTACTATCAATAAATAAATAACAAAGAACAATGAAAACATGCGCATATGCACATATATATATGATTATGGATGCTAACATTTCAGGGGATCAACGAGAAGATGACAAGCAGACATTTATGATTTATTTATTGTCATTTTATTTATGTAATTTTACTACTGTTGTAACGTATCATACATACTTGGTTGAAACACTTTTCAGAAGTCAAAACAAACAACTTTCAAAATTAAGATAAATTTTTCAAAATTAAACAACATTTTCAAAAACAAAGAAACAACATAATACATCCTTTTGAATTTACGGGAGTCCCTCGGAGGGGTAACTCACGGTTGCTAACGAGATCTCCCAAATTTAAATGAGATTAACAACTCGTGTGGGCTAAATAAATTCAAAGGAAATTAGTGGTACCAGAACTAGGGAACCGTGAGATCCTAACTGGTGTCACTCTAATCAACTTTAACCTCCCAAAACACTTGAACAATAATAACAACAAAATCAAAACATTGAAACGTACACGGTAAAACTTATTGGACCTTAGACTTTAGTACTGTCACTTCAACGAGAAGTTCGGAGCAGGCCCCGTGGACAACACGACATAGACATACAGAAGAACATATTCGAGAGAGCAACCGAGATCATCATCAACAAATTTCTTCTTCGCTTAAATAACAAGTTATAGGTCTGTCTAGAGCGACATAAATTTTTACCCCATCTTTTAGGCCTTTGCACATTTATTGTGCAATTTAAGCCCTAACTAGTTTTAGGCTCCGAGGTCGTCGTCCGTCACGACGTAAATCCTCATGTCTTCTAGGTCATTTGTATGATCGTGCATGCATATATAAGACCTAAATAATAAAACTGACATGATGAAACATCAAATAACATTTTCTCAAAGCTAAAACCAAATAAATAAGATAGTTGGGAGGTCATTTGAGGTTCTTCTCAAAGTCCACGACACCTTCTACTTCTTCGTTCCTTTGGATCCCAAAATAAAATGTTCCTATTTTTTAGTTGTTCTCTTTTGACTTTCCTGAGTCAATCCTTGAAAACTTAAAATTTGAAATTTTTGAAAGCAATACCACTGATCTTAATCGAGAGTATTCTTAAGTGATTTTTGTCATTTTAAATGTAATTAACTGTGGGGATTTGCCTCTATAGGGAACTTAAGAACCTAACTTAATATAAACCCTATTTAATTTTTTATATTAGATAGTGGAATTTGTCAGTCAACATAAATGGTTTCGCAGACTACAATGGATGTCATAAATTCTTTATTTTATTTAATCGAGTCTCATTAGCAAGCAATGTGTCTATTCCTCGCGGTGGATGCATCATTTGTTGTGTTGTGCTCGCTTATTTAAACTATTATTTATATGGGATTAGTTCGGTCTCGTATTTTTAAAATTAAAATAATACTTTCAAAAAATAATATGTATTACATTAAATCAAATATCTCTTTTTAATGACAAAAAGGCAACCGACAAGACTCTATGAAATATCACTTTTATACTAATACACATTATCATGTTATGAAATGTGAGAAGTTTTTAACTTTAGGAAGAGGATAGTGAAGTTTAAAATCATTAAAGACTATCTATATATAGTAATCCCCACATGAAAAAGAAAAGAAAAAGAAAGGATTGAAAATGATCCTAAAAGAAAAAAAAATCAAAAGAAAAAAGAGAAATGTAAAAAGAAAAATGTGTGAGGAGAAGCTTGAAAAAATGCCTAATTAAAAATTGGTTTCACTTGCATGATCTTGAAGAGTGAAACTTACTTACACTTCTGAGCTTATTCTTAATTTTAAATGTATTAATCAAATCTTTACTAGTAGAGTTCTCATATAATTCTATTTTTAATTTCTTCTAAGATTCCTAAGTCTGAAAAATTACAATTATTTTTGAAATGAATAGAAAATCGAAATTCCTAACTTAAGTACTAGATATTCTTACATCTTAGTTCTATCCTGAATTATTGAAAATTTTTCTAAAAGTTTTACTATCATATTTATAGGGAAAAAGTATAGTGATCTTTCATGAAACCAACTACCATAATTGAAAGTATTTCTTTTACAAAATAAATGAGTTACTTGAGGAAAAGTAACGTTTAAGTTTGGGGCAATTGACATGTCTTAAAATTATATATATATATACATTATGCTCATTTTTAAGGATATTGCGCTTAAATGGAATGTATTTTGTGCGTTTTTTATTTCAAGTATAAGAGATAAAGTTTAAGAGCAAAATGAGCAAAAAAAATAAGCAAAATAGGGTCAAAAAAGCTAAGAAAAAAAAATTGACCTGATGCGTAAGTGTCAGGATTTGGCGCCTCGGTGCCACGTAGTTAAAAAGAGCTTCTGGAAGGCTAGTGACTAGGCACCATCTGGAAACTATTTGCTATGAAATCGACTTAAATATTAAATGGGCTAAAAAATCCACTTTAAGCACAACAAAGCTGAGCCAACCCACATAGTGTTTTATCATATGCATAATATCCTTTCGGCTCAAAGTCGAGTCAATTTTCGGTCAAGTTGAGTTAAATTCAGGTAAATTTTTAGTTAAGTGGTCAAATTAAGATTAAGAGCAAAAAAAATTAAACATGTTGAGATTTTTGACCTAAACATTTAATTGAGTCAACTCAAACAATAATTAGTCGAGTCAGATTCGAGTCAAGTTCAAGCGTCGGCTCAATTCATGACACCCCAATGTAATCAATAATATCATTTTGGATAATGGGTTTATAATGCTCACAACATTTTTAAATTTATATAACTAAATATGAAATATCACTAACCTCGAACAACTTTTGTGAGGCATAGATTATATTTTGCCTTCTCATCACCTTTTGTGCATAAATATTGATCAACCATGATGAAGAAGATTATTTTAATTTATCTTCTATACAATAAAAATATTTTATCCGAGGTAAATTTTTGTATATATTTATCAAGAAAATAAATAGCAAATATAATTTACTTATTCCATGTTTAATGGGAGACATAAAATTAAATTTATCTCTTATACAAATAGCTGACTATTTACTCCATGATAATGCTAAGCTATTAGGATGTAAATGAGTCGGAACTTGAACGAGCCTAAGTCTTGCTCTTGATCTACTCGCTTGAAATTTTTTTATTCATATTTGACTCATGTTCGAAATGACTTGTGAATTGTATGTTCATGTTCAACTCGATTGAAATTTTTTGCTCGAATTAGACTCATGTTCCGCTCAAAATAATATATCATTGTCAATAAAAATGACTATGAAGCCTTGTGTTGCAAGCTACAATAAAGATTTTGCGATGCGAGATTAAAGGGGCTGGATGCTCGAAGGCTTTGGCATTTACATAAGTAGAGTACCACACAACTCGTAAGTATTTTCATGTTAAATAGAACTTTGTTTCTTAGTTTTTTATGGAGAGAACCACAAAATTGGGAGAGGGAGTGGCTCAAAGAAATTTATTTGGTATTTTCATGAACATCACCCAATTTTTTATGTATTTATATATTCAATATAAAAAATTAATTTTTATTTGCAATTCTAATTAAATTATTAAAAATTTTAATAAAATTAAATATATTTTAAAATATAAAATATAAATATTATATTAATATTATTTAATCATTTTGAGAAATGGAATTGAACATGTACAAATAAATTTTTATGCTTGTTAGACACATTTAAGCCCAAAAGATTTGTCTTATTTTGACTCATTTGCATAATTCAGTAATTGCAAGCCGCAAACAAGCCCGTTCCGACCGTGAAAAACCTAAACGCTGTCTGCTTGCCACCATGCCCACCGAAACAAACTCGATTCAGCAGCCGACATCCGGCAATTCTGTCTCTGATCTAGTCGACGCCTTGCTCGAGGTGCCTTCCTTTCTGTTTCACACCTCTTCTTTCTTTTCCGCATCTTATTGGCATTGCTCTGTGCTTTTGTTTGACCTCCAGTTTGTTATTTATTTTCGTTTTTCAGTGAGATGATTTCATTTAGCTCTTCGTACTTTTGTTTCGATGCTGGTTTTTATATTTGATTTCCATTGAAATCCACGAATTATTTATTTTATTTAGGGGTGTAAATGAGACTCGCTCGTGTTCGGCTCGTTTATATTTCGA